TATAATATTATATAAATATTATATAAAGAATATTATAAAAAAATTTATATAATATTTTCTAAAATTTTATATAAAATAATTTATATAAATATTATATATAATTATATTTATATATATTTTTATATTAATATATAATATAATATAATATTAATTAAATTGTTATAAGCAAATTTAAAAAAAAAATATATTTTTTCTTAAATAAAAAAAACAAAACAACGCGTGTAGAAAAATATTCATCGTATTTTTGTACTTATCTTTTATCATTACTAAATTATTGTTTAAGATTTAAAAAAGAAAATTTTTGCTAATCTACTCGATATTTTTTTGCGTGAAACTTTAAAATAAAAATTTTTATTGCTAAATGATGAATACTTATTGAAATGTCATTAAAATTTTGAATGAACTAAAATTATTGTGTTTTAAAAATAAAAAATATAAATAAAACATTAGATACTTATATAGTTAGTAATAGAATTAAATTAAGATAAATTATCACCCGTCTAGTCTAAGATGTAAATTGAATGGCAAATAGAAATATTACATATCGTCTTGTATACATTATTCATGTATAAATGAATGTGTGTAGGTATAAAGCTCATATTCAAATCCTTTTAGCATAACGCGAAAAATCTCTTATGTTAGTTAGAAGTGCTTAGATGTGGGGTACGTTTCTAGACACACGTATTCTTAATAATTGAACAGATGGTCACACAATTCGCATATTTTATCGTTTTAAAGAAATCATTTGTTCAATATATGATTGCTAAAGTATAAACGCATTTTTATTTCTTATAAATAAAATCTTTTAAAAAATATCTAAATAAATAAACATACATACAAAAATATATATAATTTTATGATATTAAATATATTATATTAAAAATTATTAAATTGATCATTATATAAGAGGGTTGATCTCAAAAGTTTCAAACTTTAATAAAAAAAAAAAAAAAGTAATAATTTTTTTTTATAATAAAATTACATTTGAGATTTAAAGTTCAAAACTTTTCAACCATCCCATGTATAATAATCTCGAAATTTTCATTCTATTATAAAAAATATTTTATTATTTATAACACATTATTAATCAAAAGTTCTTCAATAAACAATACTGAAATTATATATATATATATATTTAATATATATATAATTTTATATATTTATTTATATATATTTAATTTTATATAATATATATATATATAAAATTATAATATTAAATAAATATAAGATAATATATTATAATATAAATTATATATAAATATATAAAAAAAATTATATAATATTAAATAAATATGATATAAAATAAATTATAAAATATATAATATATATATATAAATAATATTTTATTAATAACTAAACAACACCACACATTAAAACGAGAATATTGAACAAAAATTTCGAGTAAAATTGAAAAAAAAAAAAACAAAAAAAACAAAACGAAATATAATAAATAAATAAAACTTACCTAAACATAATAAAAAGCTCTCTTCTGATGAAAAATCTGAAATCAGTGGAATCTAATTGAACTAATCGCAAAATTGTTTTTTTAATGCGATATTATTTTTGACGAATTTTCTGTTAATTTCTTTTATTTTTATTTTTTTATTTTTTTAAAAAGGGCACGCTGGTTATGGAGGGTTACGGGGGGGAAGATTTATCTTCGACTATCATCTATCGAAACACTTCCTGCCCTGCCTTGCTTCAATGTCACTTTTTTAATAATGCACTTTATTGTTAAATATTTGCCTAAAGGAAGACGAATAAAAAAAAAAACAAACAAACAAACAAACAAAAAGAGATAAAGAAAAAGAAAAAGATTAAGAGAGAAGGAGAGTGAGAGTGAAAGAGAAAGAGAGAGAGAGAGAGAGAGAGAGATAGGGGAAGAAAAGAGAAAATCACACGGCACAACTTGCCAAGGTGTCGATAGAAAGATAACTACATCACTATCGCGAACTGATGGGGTCAGTTTGCTTGCCGTACGCTCGACCGAGTACGTCTGTCAATTCTGCTGGAGAATCACCGAGTTTGAATCGTCATCATACAACGACGACGACGACGACGACGACGACGACGACGACGACGACGACGACGACGACGACGACAACGACGACGACAGATTGACAAGATACATCATCATCATACGTTCAAACCTGTTTTTGTGTAGGAGGGGGCAAATAGAAGACTGTACGACAAAAAAAAAACAAGCACCATTTAGCATAGAATATAGTTCAAAATTTTAGGATGTAATTAAAAAAATTGGTCTTTGCTTTTGTCTAATACTAAAATTATTTATAGATTTGGGGAAGATTTTTTTTTTTCATGTATTTGATTTACGTATTATAGTATAAATATATTATAATATAGTATATTTAATTATACTATATTATAGTATATATTTATTTAGTATATTACAATATATTATAATATACTATATTATAATATATACTATACTATAATATAATATAGTACAGTATTTTTAATTATACTATATTATAGTATATTTAATTAGTTTATTATAATACAGTATAATATA